TTCCGCTTTTGGTTAATTAGTTCGTGATGATCCAACATGAGCAATCTTATGACGGTAAACATTATTGTTTTATTCCTACAGAATCTGCAAGTTTGGCGTGTTGCTGCTTCATAATCGTGTCTTTGTGGCACTTGGATTACATATTCATGGTAGTCGCAATTCCAAAGAAGCTACAGTTGATGCAAAGAATGGGGCGTTCTGGCACTTAGCAGCCAGTCTCTTTCGAAGACTCCATTATTACAAAAATTTTGTCATTCGCCAGAATACAAAACAGAAAATATATGTATAAAACAAGTAAATAGCATGGTGGTTGTTTCATATAGCCGATGCTCGCACCGTCGTCATTTCTTTTTGTTTTCCCCCTCTTCCGCATACATTTTTGGTTAGTATGGCGATGGTGATGGTGCAGTGGTTTGGGAATTTTACGCACGGTGGTTTGGTTGTTTTTGTGGGTGTGGTAATGTTGGAAAAAAAATCCCCAATTTTAGCAGACGATGGTTGATTGGAGTTGCAGGTGGAGGTGGTGTGTGGTGTTGGAACAGGAGTTTGTGGGGGGTGGCGGTGACGATGAGTGTAATAGTTATGGCGTCATTTTCAATGGTGGTGGTGGGGATGGTGGTGGAATAGCGTTTGTGACCAATTACTTGGTTAATTTGTGACCAAGTATTGGTGGTGGATCGGGATCGGGGTAGGGTGTTTGGTGTATGTGACCAACTATTTGATTTATTATGACTAATCATTAAATCGTGACCTTAAAAATATAATTTGGTGTTCAAAATAACATAATATTAATACATACTAATACTACTTGACGAGCAATATTAGGCTAGAGTGAAGCAAATTTACTTTGTTAAGAAGTGAGTCTAACTTTTAAAGAAAAGTTTAAAATGTTTGGAAAATAAATATACTTAAAAGTAACTTCTTAGACAAACATGTTTTGCTAAGCTTAAAGGTTAATTTTGCTTTAGGCTTAGCTGAACATGTTTTTAATTCGAGTAGTGTAATTATTGGTTTGAATAACAAATTTAGGCCATCGTGGCATAATTAAGCCAACAAGAGGTTTATTGAGGACTATTC